TCCCTGACCAGTAGGATCCTGCCCCTGACCTAGCCACCTTGTAAATGTGCACCAACTAAAGGGAGACAGTGCTATTTATTAACACTGCCCACATTAAAGATGGCCACTGGGGGTCATCTTGGACAGCTGCTCTTCTGATGACACCTCTGGAGGTCTTCCTTTCCTCCTCTCTCTCTGCATGGCAGCTGCCAAACAGCGCCACCTGTACAGGGAGGCTGAACTGCGCCTGCCTGCAAATTCATTTTGGAATCTGCTGTTTTATGCAGTTCATTGCCTGCTGTGTGTACCAAGTTTTTAGGGATGGGCATTCATTACATTAGATATAACTCCACAACATTTAAAGTGAAACTTAGCCCATCACAGTAACTTTTTCTCTTTTTGTCCCTCCTACCAAAATTGGAAAAAGTTTTACTATTATTTGTATACCTTTTCTGCTGCATGGCAGCACATCCTTCTTTCTGGCCTAGGCTGGGCCCTGTTGTGTTCTGGGATTGCCACATCACACCTATCCCAAGAGGCAGTGTGTTTAAATGGGTGCATGCATGCCGCAGGATTCAGCAAAGAGGTGCCACGGCCGCTACAGTGTCCAGAAACTGGTGCATTTGTGCACATGCGCCAAAATCCCCCTGTGCATGCGCAGATACACCGCTAGGGCTCTGCCAGGTCTCAAATAGCTGGTAGAGACCAATAGTACATATGCACATGTGAAGGATTGCTGCTTGGAAGACAAACGGTGGATTCTACTTGAGCACCCTTTTTTTTTTTTTATCCTTAGTTGCATTTCATTGCTGCTGATCTCCTGCAGCCTCTTTGCAGCTACTTTCTATCTACATGCACATTGACAATGGTTGCATGGTATTTCTCCGGATGGGTTTCCCAATGGTGACAACAGTGGGAAAGGAAGGGAAATCTCCCCTGGCCGAGGTTCTAACCCTTCCCATGGCTCATCCAGGACTAGAGTTCTGCTTTAATGCACACGGTATCAGTGCAGTGCACAGGCTCTGAGCCGGTCCACCTATTCCAGCATTGTACGCCGGCTTCCCTGGCTTTGAATGGGAGACGGTTGTAAGCATCTTAGCAAGCCTTTTAAACCTTCCAGACAGAAACGGATTTAATAAGTCAACACTGGAGATTTGCAAGGCTTAGCGTCTAAGTGTTGAAATTCTCCGGCACAGCTCGGGATAAGGCCCGAGAAATTACAAGCTTGGGGTCTAGGAGCCGCTATAATGAGATCTTGATGCGTATTTCCCAAGATGCATTTTGTCCCTGGCCTTCACGGGTCATCTCCACCCACCACCACCACCAATACAGGCCAAGTTCTTCTGATTTTCTTTTATATCCAGTTTATTGTTGGGATTTTGCATTCCTCTGTTGCTATGCTTGGCTCACAGCCTTTCACAGAGCTGGTGGTCAAATTCCAGCCAGCTTGGTACATGGAAGGTGGCATTCCTGGCAGTGTGTTTAGGGAGTTTCATCCTCTGGTGGGGCCAGGGACCCTGTGTTGGCATAGTATTTATTTTATTTATTTCAGGTACTTGTATAGCGCCATCAATTTACGCAGCACTTTACATATATATATTTGTACATTCACATCGGTCCCCGACCCTCAAGGGGCGTACAATCTAAGGTCCCCTAACCCTCGAGGGGCGTACAATCTAAGGTCCCTAACCCTCGAGGGGCGTACAATCTAAGGTCCCTAACCCTCGAGGGGCGTACAATCTAAGGTCCCTAACCCTCGAGGGGCGTACAATCTAAGGTCCCTAACCCTCGAGGGGCGTACAATCTAAGGTCCCTAACCCTCGAGGGGCGTACAATCTAAGGTCCCTAACCCTCGAGGGGCGTACAATCTAAGGTCCCTAACCCTCAAGGGGCGTACAATCTAAGGTCCCTAACCCTCAAGGGGCGTACAATCTAAGGTCCCTAACCCTCAAGGAGCGTACAATCTAAGGTCCCTGGCCCTCAAGGGGCGTACAATCTAAGGTCCCCAACTCACATTCATACATACAAATACTAGGGACAATTTAGACAGGAGCCAATTAACCTACCAGCATGTCTTTGGAGTGTGGGAGAGAACCGGAGTAACCAGAGGAAACCCACACAGGCACAGGAAGAACATGCAAACTCCAGGCAGGTGGTGCCGTGGTTGGGATTGGAACCAAAGACCCGAGTACTGCCAGGCGGAAGTGCTAACCGTTTAGCCTCTGTGCTGTCCTATCACCTATATGTATCACTATATGGTTACAGTAGCCGAAACGCTTGCTTAGGATTTGTTTTGTATAATTTGAGGTTGGGATTGGTCTATTGCTATACCTACATACCAGAATAGGGTTAGAATTTACAATAAAGTCACATTCGTATAATTCAGTGGTGGTCAACTTTCTTGATATGGGGGCCTTCAGTGCAATCCCCAACATCACCGAAGGGCCAAACATAAAAGAAACACAACAGGATATGGTCAGAGAATATGGGACAGGATACAAAATATGGTCAGAGATGGCAGGAAAACATGCAAGAGATGGTCAGAGACTGTGGACATGATACAGGAGATGGTCAGCGATTGGATTTAATACGGTAGTATACTGTGTGTATTCACACAGTATACTACAAATACAAGAGATGGTCAGAGCTTGCAGACATGGTACAGGCAATGGTCAGAGACTGTGTACATGATACAAGAGATAGTCAGAGACTGAAGACATGGTACAGGAGATGGCCAGAGACTGGACATAATAAAAGAGATGGTCAGAGACTTTGGACATGGTACAGGAGATGGTCAGAGACTGCAGACATGGTACAAGAGATGGTCAGAGACTGCAGACATAGTACAGGAGATGGTCAGAGACTGCAGACATGGTACAGGAGATGGTCAGAGACTGCAGACATGGTACAAGAGATGGTCAGAGACTGGATATAATATCCGAGATGGTAAGAGACTACAGACATGATACAAGAGATAGTAAGAGACTGCAGACATGCTGTAGGAGACTGTCAGAGACTTGTGACAGAAACTGGAGCTAGAAATCACTGCTATAACAGGGCAATAGGGAAGCACATATTAGTGTTTGCAGGGGCCCCCGTGGGCCACAAAAAAAAGTGCCAAAGGGCTCCAGGTTGGGCATCAGGGGTGTAGCTGGTTGGAAGGGCATTTATTTTACGCAACAAGCCTGGAAATTCCCAGCTCTGCCATTTATAATCCTGAACTACAGAATGATTAGCCTTTATGTTGATGGAAGTGAGACTGGGAGTTTAACAAAAGAAAACTGGGCAGGGCTGACACCACTTGGTCTACAAAAATGCTGTGTGTTGCCAGCCCGGAACAGGACTTAGGAGCGGAGAGCATTCCAAACAGATCCACAGATCGTTTTCAGTACTTGCAGGGTTCTCAAAGGGGTAAAACATGGGGAAATGTAATATAGAGATGTACTGCATATGTTTCTAGGCGAACTGAGCGCACTTCTTCCTTGGATTAGGGTTGTCTCAGTTGCTTCTGTCTCTTCATGTCTCAATGGTGTTGATGAATTCTATGGGGACCATACCAACTCTTCCATGACCCCTTGTTCTTCTAATGACGATAGCTCTCTATGACTCTGATTGTAAGTTTTATGATCATTGTCCTTCTGCAGAATAAATATGGGACTGATTCTTCCAGGTTTTCCTCTGATTTTCCTTATACTCTTCAGCACCTTAGAGTAGTAACCAGGGGCGGACTGACCATTTGGAAACTCGGGCACTGCCCGAGGGCCTGGGGTCAGTAGGGGGCCCCATGAGATGCCCCTGGTACCTTTTTCATAGGCTTTTTTGAGTTAGGGCAAGGACACAGGGGCCCCATGATCCCCTATTGCCCGGGGGCCCTATGAAATGTCAGTCCGCCCCTGGTAGTAACACAGGGCTGGACAAATCCCAGAAGCCAGAGAGCCAATGCTCCTTACAATTTACAGCTGCTGCCTAACATTTGAGGTCTTCTGGGTTGTCAATGGAGCTTGGCTCCTAACAAGACAAAAAAAAATCCTGATGGATCCCAGATTGGACAGACCGGCTCTTGATTTCCAGTATTATTTGTCCACCCCTGTTGTACCACCTAACTATCCCAAACCTAAACTCCTAAAGCTTCCATGGAAACATACCCATGCAAAGGGAAAAATGAACTTAAGGGCTTGTTCACACTTGACTTTATTTCTAACTCTTGCCAAACGCCCCTATAGTGTTTTACAGGCATTAGATAGGCGTTTGTGAAGCGTTTTTAACGCTCCTTAAACGCTCCCAAAACGCCCTATGCGCGGTTTTGAGGCCGTTGATAGGCGTTTGCCAAGTGTTAAAACCGCACCACAAACTCCTATAATGAAGGTAAATGGAATTAATGCTCCGCAAACGCCTTGCAACCGCGAGGAGCGGCACCATCAACTTGAATGGGAGGCTTCAACTCTTCCTGACTGGACCCGAGGCGTCAGTTTTGCTGCGACGCTAATGCTTCCGTGTGAACAGCACTGTGTGCTGCCATGTCCAGAACTTTCATAGGAGTTTGAGAAGCGTTAAAAACGCTTCCCTGACGCCTGCTGACAAAACTAGTGTGAACGTAGCCTAAGAAAAGGGTTGTGACAACCTAAAATACTCCTTTCCATTCTGGAATATTTTGCACCAAAACATCATCGGTACATTTTTAAGACTGGAATAATTTCTACCTTGAGCAACTTGGCAAACCTTTTCTCTTCATTGTACCATTTGACATTTTGAGGGAAAAGCCGATGAAACATGAACAACGTAAATAAATTGTTATTGAGCTGCAATCCAAAATGGCAAAATATAGAAAAAAGAAATGATATTAAACGAAGGCGCAGAATCCATTACCCGCCCGCTGGAGCCTGGGCCCATTTCAGGTCATTTTACACAAAGTATTTTGAAGGCTCCGATTAAAGACTTTGCAGAGTGCCAGAGAAACGTGACTATGTAATAAGATGTAGTCAAGGACAAATCCTAATTTTTTGTTTTTTGTATTTTTATAGTGCTGATGGGGACTTTGCAGTGACCCACTTGACCAAAGCCCACCTCTTCTATGACGGACGGATAAAGTGGACACCCCCAGCCATTTACAAGAGCTCCTGCAGCATTGACGTCACTTTTTTCCCCTTCGACCAGCAGAATTGCACCATGAAGTTCGGCTCATGGACCTATGATAGAGCCAAGATCGATCTGATCAGCATGCACAATCATGTCGACCAACTTGACTACTGGGAGAGCGGAGAGTGGGTCATTGTCAATGCTGTCGGCAACTACAACATTAAGAAGTATGAGTGTTGCACAGAAATCTACTCGGACATCACATATTCTTTTATCATCCGTAGACTTCCTTTATTTTATACCATTAACCTTATCATTCCCTGCCTTCTCATCTCCTGCTTAACCGTGTTGGTCTTCTACTTACCTTCAGAATGTGGAGAGAAGATCACACTGTGTATATCCGTCCTGCTTTCCCTGACTGTCTTTCTCCTCCTCATTACTGAGATTATTCCATCCACATCTTTGGTCATCCCATTGATTGGGGAATACCTGCTCTTCACCATGATCTTTGTCACCCTCTCCATCATCATCACAGTATTTGTATTGAATGTCCACCACCGTTCCCCTCGTACACACACCATGCCAGCTTGGGTACGCAGAATATTTTTGGATGTGGTGCCCAGAGTTTTGTTCATGAAGAGGCCTGCAAAGGACAACTGCAAGAAACTGATCGAGTCCTTGCATGTTAGAAGGCTTAGTCCTCCACCTAGACTGTGGTCTGAGACAGAGATTGAGCCGGCCTTCCCAAGTTCATCCTCAGCCAGCCCCACCAGCCAGAGGGCATCACCAGCTTCTTCCTGTTGCCACCAGCTGGAACAAACGGCCAACTCTCAAGTGATCTGCAAGTCTCCCTCGGGGCAATATTCACTGCTCTGCGAGGAATCAACTCTGACCAGCTGCCCTCGTCCTTCAAACCAAACTCATCTTCTGGGAGAGCCCCAGACCAACCTGATGCCCAAGGTTCGCTCTGTAAGCGTGCAACAGATGTACACGCCCAAGGAAACCAATGAGGCTACAATTCGTTGCCGCTCAAGGAGCATACAGTATTGCTACCTTCATGAAGATTCTTCCCAGACCAATGGTCAGTCCAGTACCTCTCCACAGTCTCAGAGTTGTCACGTGCATGAAGCACAGCAGACTCCAAATTCTCAGTGCAAATGCAAACCCAAAAACCAAGAGAAGTCAAGTGGCACCAGTCAAGTTACCAAAACAGTCAGTACCAAAGAGCAGCATGTGCTGCTGATGTCTCCATCCCTGAAGTTGGCCATTGAGGGAGTCCATTATATCGCAGACCACCTGAGAGCAGAGGATGCCGACTTCTCTGTAAGTACCTAACATATACATTTTTTTTTTTTTTAATAGGCGAAGGGACACTTATAGACTTCCAGTTGCTGAGGAACCTCCAAGTAGGTCTAAACCCTAACTGGATTACATTTAAGTGTATGAATACCCAAAACCTCCCTTTCTTAGATTTTCCTTCTTGTGTCCTGTAGATGCAACAGAAAGAGGAAGTTCCCCTCTTAGACAGTTGTCACAGGGACAAGTGTCCCCATTGGAAGGTTTCCCATCAATTTTTGTTTTGGTGAAGACAAAGTTTGATTTCCTATCACTTGCCATGTCAGCAACAATGGTCACCAGGAAAAACTGAGTGAATCTTCTCAATCAGGGCACAGACTGTTATAACAAGGGGTTCTAATACATTCCCACTCCAAAAGAAAAAAAAAAAGTTTTGAATTTTCATTAGCTAGGATAAGATATCAGCCATACAAGGGAGTATATGGTGTGCAGTGATTTGGTCATGCACTTGTTTTTCTGGGAAGCAGCAGTAAAGCAGTGGTCTCTCTGCAGAGGTCTGACAACCCTCTCTACTGAGTTAGACCAATTGCTCTAAAATCAGAAAACCTCATACTCCCTGCTGATTGGAGAGCTCTGGATCTGACTGAATAGGAGGATTGTCAGACTTCTGTAGAGAGACCACTGCTTCCACACAAGGAGCAACAGTTCTCTGCACCATGCTGGCAGTGGACAGGCTTGTTATATCTGGGTCTCCTTCCTGCTCACTGGTTGTCCCCATCCAACCCCCACTGCTGGAAACCTGTTAGCATGCTAACATAGAACCATGCCAGTGGCCACTAGGGATGTAAGTAATTACATGAACTGGACTACGTTACCTTCCCTTGTTTTCCTAATTAATAGCTGGAGTAGCAGTTGGATTTTTATTATTGCGGATTTCAGCTTGTAGATCTGTGCTCATTGCATGCGCTCGATGTGAGGGTGTATACAGGATCTCATTGTGTCTCTTTGCTGGAAACCACTGACCTTGCCACCGCTCGCGGACTCTGACGATTCACTTCTGGTCATTATGCGGAAGGTGCAAGCTGTGCTGTCTGATAACTTTAAACAGAGGTCCGTTGTCGGCGGAGCGCTCACAGCGTGATAGAGCGAGCGCCCAGCCTGCAATCATTTAGTCTATTTCCATCTCAAGTGGCTGTTATCTTCCGCCTTCTGTAGCTTTCAAACCGCTTTGATTGTCCGCTGTTTTTTTTTTTCTTGTTTTCCAATTTGTCCCTCTGCACTGCTGATATAAGGCAGATGGCAAACAAAAAGGAGTATCTCAATGACCCCCCCTAAATTCTTCCTTAAAGACACCCTGTAAGGTCTCTTAAAGGAACCTTGACACTCACCTTCATCAGGCTTCCCCGCCATTCCTCTGTTGGAGGCAAGAGGGTTTTTGACATCCTCAGCGCCCAAAAAGTGTTTGGGTCTGGTGACTGGCCACTCACGCCCATGGTCCTCCATATCTAAAAGAGTTTTGTAAAGGAGAGGTGGGGAGCATGGTAAAGGTAGGGGAAGGTGGCAATTTCAGAGATTCGAATGAGCAAAAAGACAGGATCTCTTTTTGGAAATTTCTGAAAGATTGAACAGTAAAATAACTGACTTTCCCAGTATTTATTTGTGTTTGGTAAGGCCTCAATCACACAGGTCATCTGATGGGTTTTTAAATGCCCTCTAAAAGCCCAATGGTGGGTTCATGCAGAGGCAGTCTCCACCGCCCCTGGAGGATCACTTTTCAAAAGGTGGCAGAACAGGTGTTCAAGAGGCAATACTACCACATCGTGAATGCCTGTTTTTTGTTTTTTTTTTTTTTTTTGCCGAATGGTGATTGTCCTTGGAACTAACTTGCCACAACTGCGAGTCTAGCGTATAGCTTGCACTTGCAGTGTGGTCCCGTTGAAATTAATGGATGGCTCAAGGAGCTGAGTTAAATTTACCATAGCCGCTCCTTATGTGCAATCTCTTCCAGCTACCTTGTTGGGCTTTCGATTGGTGAACAGGTGGTTCGGCTGCATTTTTTTTACTGCCTGTGCGAAAAAGGCCTAATGAGGCAGCTGGAGAGGATCATATACATACCAAGGCCGAGATGCTTTGCAGCTGCAGCAAATTAAACTCAGCTTGTTGAGTTAAGCCACCAGGCTTGCCTTTTGAACTCGCCAATTGAAGTCAACGGGACTATTCTGCAACTACAAGCCAAATGCTTGGCTCATAGTTGCGGAGCATTAGTTCCATGCAAGATCGCAATTCTGCAAAGAAACAAACAAAAATACAGGCATTCAGGAGGCGGCAGTATTGCCTCCTGAATGGCTGGAAGCTGCTGCTCCATCGCCTTCTGAATAGCCATGTGAACCTATCCCAAGCCCTGCACAAGCTCTTGATTTATCCACAGTCAGCAGCATTAAATTTGTGCTTTAACCATCAATTTACTAATCACTTTACATCCAGAAACAGCAACCGATGTGGGCATTTATAAAATGTATTCAGGGAGCAATAGCTCACACCCCTCTCATTGTCTATATGTAGCCATTGACTCTAGATAGGAGCCTGCTGATGTTGGGTGACCCTGTGCCACCATCAAACCTCCGTGTGGCCTTTGCAAGCATTGGGCAATCCTTGCAGTTCCAGGTCCACTTGAGTCCAGCTTGAGCATATATATATCTTTAAAAATGTTGTGTAGGATGGATAGACTTATATTGTTCCAGTCACATCATGAGATTCACTTTCTCTCTCCTTAATCCCAACAGGTCAAACAGGACTGGAAGTATGTGGCCATGGTCATCGATCGGATCTTCCTCTGGATGTTCATCATAGTCTGCCTCTTGGGAACCGTTGGACTGTTCCTACCACCCTGGTTGGCCGGCATGATCTAAGCATCAGGGCCTCCAAAATGGATAGTCCCACCACACCAGGAGGACAACGGGTGGGGAACAGCCAAGTGGGGTGGGAAGTTGGGCGCATGAATGCATGGAGAATGCAGAGAGAACTTAAAAAACAAAACACAAGAACGGTTTGAGGGATCCCACAGAACAGAAGGGACAAGCGGGCGATCCAGAGCGTGCGTCTGCAGTATATAAATATTTAAGCTCGCATCAGAAACGCATGAGAGAGCCCAGCCAGCTCCAGGGGATGGCCCCGGGCAAAGAAGCCTTTTCAGGGACTGCTCTGGCCCACTATGGCCAGGAATCCTTGATTAAATATTTTGTCATGTACAGCCGACTGCAACCAAGAACCATTCATACTGACGTCTGAGGGTTCCTGGCGGGTCTGTGAATAAATCTGAGGCCCTAAAGACCTTTTGTGTCATTTTGGTTTTTATTTCTAACTTGTTATTGCTTTCTTTTGTGAAACTTGCTTGGCTGTAGAAGATTTAATGGACGCTGGTCAAGATAGAAATATGGGTGAGATTAGCCACTTCCGATTGTGTTAGAGTACTCACTCCCCCGCTGCATGCTGTGGTTCCTCCCACCAGCTTTTACTTCACTACAGGACGTATGAGCTTTCTGGAGGAACCATAGTGTGTGGTGGGGGTAACAAGTATTTGACCCTCTCAAAGTGCTTGGGGGGGGCAATAAAGAGGCAGCTTTAGACAAATGGGCCACCAGAAAGGTAATTATATTCACTTTATTTTTACAGTTACGTAATTGTATAAAATTGGTCACCTTAAAGAAAACTTACTGATAGAAACATATGGCATTGCTGACCTCTTCATTTAAAATGCTTGATGTCCGTGTTGGTTCTCTGGCTGTTTTGAGTCACTGACCTAGAACAAGCGTGCAGACTGGGGCAGTCGGAAGCACATATCTGGATGCTTGTTCCGGGACAATATCTCAAAGCAGGTGAGGATGGCAGCCAGGCACCTAGCCCAGAAAGCTGCTCCAGGGAACCGAGGGAATCCTAGAGAAACCCATTTTCCCTCGACTTACCCCTCCAGCTGCATTGCTGCTCTGGATAAGCGCTACGTACAGTGGAGAAAATAGACTGCACCTGCCTACACCATACCTTCTAGTTCAGTGGTTCTCAACCTTCCTAATGTCGCGACCCTTTTATACAGTTCCTCATGTTGTGGTGACCCCCCAACCATAAAATTATTTACCCAGTAATTATAATTCATGAAGTGTCGTTTTACCTCCAATACTGCTGCTTTCAACACAGTAGCTGCTTTCTACACAGCGGCTGCTTTCAACACAGCAGCTGCTTTCTACACAGCAGCTGCTCTTTACACATCGGAAATATGTGTTTTCCGAGATGGTCTTAGGCGACCCCTGTGAAAGGGCCGTTCGACCCCCAAAGGGGTCACGACCCACAGGTTGAGAACTACTGTTCTAGTTGGTATGTGCTACTGATGCATCAGGGAGTGTTGGGTAGCAGCACTGCCAAAGGCCAAAGTGTCCCCATATACTGTGAACTGTGTTGGTAGTATAAGTTGCAGATCCTGCTCTTTCTGCGACCCGTTCCATTGAAGCGCCCAAGGCGCTCGCCTTTGCTGCCAACCTTTGAGTCTTGAGCAGCAAAGCCTGGCGTTGTTTAGAGTTTCCCTCACCGGACAGGCAAGTAATTTTTTCTTCACAGGGTTCCACCATTGCTCATTCTGCTACCTGTTTGGTTGTCAGGCTGATCCTCTAGCTTTGGTGCTTTATGGAGTCACGGACCTAGAACAAGTACGCCAGGCAGTAGCTTTGCCTTTTCTCTGAAGGCAGGCATGCAGCAACATTTTCAGCCAACAATGGCAGCCAACTTATTTCCTCCACTTTAAAATTCCATCAACGAGCGAGCGGCGCAAAGGCCTGTCTGTGATCGCTTCAGTCGGCCGCGTCGCCTCTGATATTCCGGCAGATCTAACAGGAGGTGTCAGAACGGCTCACTTTGACTGAAGGACAGGTTCAAAGCCAGGCGTCACTCCTGCCACAATTCCCTGGCCGGGTGTGTGCGTGCAACGGTAAAGCGCCAGCTGCAGGCCCAAACCTTATGGGACAGGCAGGGGGAATAAAGGAGAACAGAATTGTGGAACAGGGCCGTTTAATGTGTGAAGGGCAGAGTAAGGGTGGCGTGTATAATTTCTGTTATCTCGCTCGCTGCCGCCCTCTGCATATTAAGCAATACAGACAAGTTCCTCGTTAGAATAATCTCACAGCCAGACAACACGTGGCCTAGCAACACTACGAAATATCAGCAATGCGTACGACAAGGGGGGACACTGCATGTGATTTTTCTGTCCTTTAGAAGAAAACTTGTTTTAATTTTTTTTTTTTTTTTTTCAATGTGAATAATCGCTTGTTATACCTGTGATCTGTCTGACAGCGCTGGCGTGTAGGGGTAAGTATACCTTCAAACAAAGTCTACTTATTCTTTTATCCCCTTATGTCCTAAGACAAGAGGAACTTCTCCCTGGGGAAAGTCTTCATCGGCGGCTCCTCTTCTACTGCATCATCTTCAAATATCCCATGCATGCGGAGATGTGCCACAGGTCTCTGCCAGGTATGTGGGACTTGAGAGAGAACTGCGGCATGTCTGAGCAGACCTGGAGGATTCCCATGCATGCACAGACATGCTGCTGGATTCTGGTATCTGGGACCTTGTAGAACCCTTCTGCAAAGCATTTCCGAAGTCTACATGTTTAGACATGCTGTAGGTCTATGCCTGTTCCCAAATGCCTGGCAGAGAGAGCAGCAGCATGTTTGCACCTCATCATGCATGGCTTCCCATGAGGTGCATGCGCCTATCAACTGCCTTCTGAGATATGCGACATGGACTTCCCAGGAGGCAGGGGTGGTCACCACTTAATTCTCGACTTGGCAAAGAACCAAGAAGTGCTGCAGTGTGGCACAAAAAAAGTACAAAATGTTTCCAAAAATTAGGAAACATTTTCCAATTCTGTAGGAGCAAGAGGGGAGGAACCAGGAGAGAAAATGTTAGATTAATGGACAAAGATCCACTTTAAACCCACCCTCCTTCCATAACTCCATACATGCCAAGTTCACAAAGCCATAGCAACGTTCTGCAATCTTCTTTCAGTGGTCCTTGCATGTGCATTAGAAACCCACACATGTCTACAAAGGCCATGTTTTGGACTTTGTAGACATCTATAGCCGTTGTAGACATCAATGGCCGTTGTAGACATCAATGGCCGTTGTAGACATCAATGGCCGTTGTAGACATCAATGGCCGTTGTAGACATCAATGGCCGTTGTAGACATTTAAGGTCGTTGTAGACATCTATGGCCCTGTTGACTCAACAGGAGAAAGCCCTTTAAATGTCTATGGACTTCTGCTGTGTATGAGCAAACCACAGAAAGATGTTGGCTGGAAGGAAACTTTGTCACAGGCCTTCAAAAACTTGTTAATTATGGAGTTGTGGAGGGAGGGATAGTTAGAGCTTATTCATACCATGTCCGTTGAGTTGCATTTTTCAGCACCTCAATGGCCATGTATGGTAGGAACAGGGCACATAGAAATCATCTGTTTGGTAAATAATCTAAATAATTAATACTGTAATTCAAAGCCCAAAGATTTTGTTTTGAAAAGAATATTGAAGGGATAGAGTCCTATCTTAGGTTTTCATTGCAATCTGTGTCCCTACTATTCTTTATTGTCACCAAGAGAGAAAGTGAGGGGAAGTCCAAAGTTTTAAAGTTGTCACAGAGGACAAATCTACCAGTAGGAACATCTGTTCTGTGACAACTAGGTGAGGTATTCTCACTTTCTGCTGTGCCTTACAACAAAATGTGAAAGAAAATTCCCCAATGGGCAGAAAAACAACTGACAGGGATGTAACCACATCTTAATCTATTTTACACTTGCCATGCTCTCTGAGGAGTGATAAGGGTTCAGATTGCTCTTCAGAGAGCATTGCACAGGTGGTGAGGAGGGGTTGTACGGCCTCTCACCACTTGTTTAACCCCTTACATGCAGAATACTGGGCTGCAATTGTGTGCCTTGTACATGGTTTCTGGGGGGGGTTGCAGCACACCCCGAATCACTCAAATGGGTTGCATTCTTTGGCGGTAGTGCCCACCAAACATATCAATGGATATAATTTCTGTTTTGGCATTTGGACATCCCTTGCTTCTGCCTTTCCAGCTAAAGGGGGAGCAGCTGAGGGACGGTAAAAGAAGGCTCAACCATGTGGTTCTTCTGCCCCATTCCCCACCTGTGTTTCTCCTCGTGCCCATGGAAAGTCATGGGGAAATCTAAAATGTTGCAGTTGTCACAGGAAAAGAGGGAAAACGTTCCAACACCTAGGATGGTATTTCGTCCTGTTTTCTTTTGTGTCTGCCTCTGTGTCTAAAAAATTAAGGTAAATCAAAATTAAGGTAAACTGAAAAGAAACTTGACTGGTGATGGCATCCATTCCATATGCTATCTAAAATGAATTAAAAAAAAAAAAAGTTTGGCTTTACATACATTTAAAGAAAATCTATCCTGCGATAAATTCATAGTTTACTATTGAACCCCCTTGTGAACAAGCAAGTTGCCTGTCTGCCATAGACTTGGAACACGCATGCAGTCACTACAGACAAAACTCTGGCACCGCTGTTTGATAATCTAGATGGCCATGCAGCTAGCATTTTCACAGGAAGAAGTAGGCAGGAAAGGTTTTCCTGGAGTGATGACATGACTTGTCTACAGCCAGAACCCACTTCAGGGATTTGTAGAGAGGACTCCACCATGAATCAGTGCTCTCATCTTATCCAAGAGGTCCTTTGTATGGCTTGTACAGCAGCACAAGAGAATCACACATTGAAAGAGTACTTAAAGAAATTAAACTCATGGCTTCACATAAAAAAGGTCCTCCCTGAGGTGTTTATCGGTCTGATATAGAAGTGGAACTTCCTTTATTCAATGGAAGAAATGTGCCTGAAATGTAAACCTA